TTATCATTAGCAAAAGACAGAATGACATTTAAACTCAAAATTGCCTTTGGGCAGTAGGTCTGGAAATAGATTTTACTGCACAAACACACATTCGCACACACATACATGGACTCGAAAGAGGAAAACAATACAAGCCGTGCTGTCACGGCTGGTAAATATAGCAAGAGGGGAAATGAAGTCGAAGGGTCAGCATAGGGAAACTGTTGCTGTGAACAAGGGGGAAAAAATGTCAGGAAACGGCTGGCAGCAGAGAAAAACGTGACATCCTCAATGTGTGTGTTCATGTTTTTTCTAGGAGAAGCATGCACAGGAGGTGCGCAGGAACAAGGAATTGAGAGAAGCACTGACAGCGTGAGAAACCCCAACTGGTTCCATGTCCCACCTCCACACCCTCCACCGCCTTCCCCAGCCCTGAGGAACGCCCCACCCCGCTCCTTTCCCCACCCGTATCCCACATTTCCCCACCTCTCCACCCCCACCGCCATACTCCCCCCTACACTAGTACAAACCACCACAGCCTGAGGTGCCACCCCGACACAGCGGGAGCTTCAAATGGAGTTGGGGGTGGGAAAAATGCAAAAATGATTAAAAACAAAAGAAAGATCAATGTATCCTGTCCACTCTTCCCAAAAAAAAGAATGTTTTCGCTCCGTTTCAAATGAGAGGAAAAGAAAAAAAAAATCAAATTGACAAGTGACAGTGGTTTTTGTAAATACTTCCTTTTTTTGTTATATACAGTACGATACAAGCAGCAAAAGTATTGATTGCAGTGTGCCATTTTTATATATAAGTTTCTTCTCCTTGCATATATGGATGTAATAATTTGTTCATTTTCATGTTTACTTTTTTTTGTTCATTTCAGCCTGAGAATGTTTTCTTTTTTAGATTTCTCTTGTGTGATTACAGGCTTAGGTGTTTGTTGTGAGTTTGCCAGCTAGCTGATGGTTGGCGGTGACTGCTTGCGTCCTCACACGGCCCGCATCCTGGCTCAGTTCCCTTCGCCCCTGCAAGTGGCCGCTTACTCATCTGACCCAGCAGATCTGCGAGGCAAAATTAGATCCATCCGGTTTATGCCAGTATTCAATTAGTGAGGAGCAAGTGCAGGAAAGCTGACAGAGGGCAAAGGGGGACAGTTTTGCGTTCATGTGAGGACCGCAAGCCGTCGTCGCACATCCACTCCTGTGAGGTAGGGTAGTGACTGTACCACAGGAGGCCACTTTAGCATTTAATGAGCCCATCCTCATCCTTCTTCCTTCCGTCTGCAAACTCTTCATCTCTCCACATACAACATATATATATATCTACTGTAAAAGCACTCACTCACATGCTCTCCACACAGGCAACCACAGAGCTCAGGCAGAGCGTGCTAATTTCTGTCCATCTGGCACCGGAAAGCTCATCCCTGACAAATGGCGGGCCTCTTATATTCCTCTGAAAACAGGCTTCCAGTCACATTTAAATCACATGTTACTGTAACGTACGACACCACTGGGGACAAAGTGCATCCTGAGAATGCTGAAGTGCAAAAACAAAATAATAATAATAAAACCTGCTACTGTGAAGCTTAATTTGGAGAAAAAAAGAAAATAAATCCCATTTTTCTCCATTTCACAAAGGCTAGAGTAGTCCGCGACATCGCCATCACCTACTGGGAACCATCGCACTTCACTCCGAGACACTTTAAATGCCACTGTAAGGTCAGCACAAGAAAGACTTCTAAGCCATAAAGACAGGTATCACTGCAGCAGCGATTCATGAACACAGTATTTCCATCTGTAAAGGTGTATATGAGTGTGATAAAGTATCCGAATGGTTTGTAACCAGGGGTGTTGAAGCCTGAGGTTGAACCCTGTTGGTCACGCACGCACAGTTGACCCATAAATGTGTGTGAGTGTGTGTGTGTGCAAGTGTGTGTGTATTTCAGAAACGGCGGGTAGATAAACCAACCCTTGTGCCATATGATATTGATCCGGTTAAATATAAATAAACACCATTACAGTCAGAAGTTCAGCACAGACAGCGACTCTCCTACCTGCCTCTCTCACTCTCTCTCTTTGTCTCCTCTATCCATTTGTGTGTTTCCCCCTCTCCACATATATCTTTGTGAGCAAGCAGTGGTTAATAAAGATTTGGGGTTCAGTGAATGAAACCGGCTCTCAGACTGACTTCTTTCCTGCACGCTTGTGTTTCCAGTGGACTATTTTCTTTATGTAACTGAAACAAAATGTCAGGTCAGAACAATGCGTGGATAAACACGTCTGTAGGTGAATTATTCAGCTTCAATAACTCTTTGGACTGTACAACAATCACCACCTGGATTTAACTAAGCAAACAGGTATGAGCCTTCCACTGGATAATTACTGCAATGATTAACCTGTTTCGGCTGCCAACAGGTTATTTAACCCTAACCGATGCAGCAATTAGTTTCTCATTTCTTAAACCAGAAGGTGCTAAATATTAACCAGCATCAAGCAAAGAAAACTACTAAGGAGACTGCTGAAACTGCTAAAGAACTGTACAATGCATTATGAAAATGTGGAAGGACAGAAGTGTGTTAGAGGATACCCACATGCTAAGTGCAAAGGGAACTCAGGGGATTGGGACTAAACAGCTTTTAGATTTAAGAAAACCACTTATCATTGAGGCAAACTGGGAAAAAAACATGCTTTAATTTGGTAGGGAGAATGAAGATGGGACTGGATGTTGAAGGAAAAAGGTCGTGTTCTCAGATGAATTCTGTTCCTGATGAGTGTATGAGGGTAAAAAGAGAGGTGGATAAAGTGGTGCACCCATCGTGCTTAGTGCCCCCAGTACAAGCCTGTGGGGCAGGCTTATAAGCTTGGGTTGCTTCAGTTAGTCCACTCCAGATTCAGCATTAAAAAAAAATAGATTCTTCCATCAGTGTAGTTTTTCTTCCTTCATGCAGTGAGGATATTGCAAGGTGACAGCGTCAGGATTCATCGGGCTCAGACTGTGAAAGAGTGGTACATGGAGCACGAGGCAGACCATTAACCCCACTGAGACTGGAGAAGTCGTCTGACTCTCTCATCGTGAATACAAGATATCAGTGAAAAATGAATACAGCTGTGCAGGAAATAAATGCCATGAGGTTATCAAAATGCTGTGTTTTGTTTTATATACTTTTTAAAATTATTGTTGATTTTATTTTAAATATTTAGATATAAATAAGTAACAAAAAATACTGATTTTTACTGACTCTACCTATGTATTATTTTAACATTTATCATGTATTTATTTGTTCTGCAAAACGTAGCATTTGTGTGAGCGAATCAGAGAACAGCTTTATATTGTAAGGTAGACCCTACAATAATACATACAGAGAAAAATCCAACAATCAAATGACCCCTATGAGCAAGCACTTTGGCGACAGTGGGAAGGAAAAACTCCCTTTTAACAGGAAGAAACCTTGGGCAGATCCAGACTCAGGGAGGGGCGGCCATCTGCCCGACTGGTTGGGGTGAGAGATCAATACCTGAACCAGTTTAAGGCTACTAAAGTAACTTCTCTGGCATTTGTTATGGGCATAGTGCTGCAGTCAGCTGTTTTACACAAACACCAAAGAAAAAGAGACACAAAGTCATAAACATAGATAAAACATTACAGATTAGATGGTACCTAACTACACATAAAATCATGAAGAAAGAAAAAATCACGGCCTCTAATGATGAATTTGATTGAGAGCCTTTTGTTTTTTTAATAACTGTCTGCAGATTTTGAGTTAACGTTGTTATTTGATCACAAAAAAGCATAAAGTGAAAATCTGACATCAGCCCCAGTTATAAAAGGAAAGTGAGAATAATGAAGGCCGTATTTGCACATTAGCTTTTCCTGCTATGACAAGTAGAAGGGCAGTTTACGAGGCTTTAATTTGAGTTGTATGGTTCCAACTTGTTTATTATACATGACCAGCTTTTTAAAACGCTCATCAAGATTATATGGAGACATAGAAGTACAGCATAAATGCCTGTGCATTTCCATTACATCTATAGAGCGTGTTTATACTCTTATCTGTTTGTACTATTATCTGCTCTAAAACATTTTTAAAATAAACTTTGAAAATGTACTTTTTCAGTGGATTAATATAACAGAAAACATTCTAATGCTATTAGAATAATGTGCATTTTTGCGGTATTGCTTTAACCTAAAAAATATAAGATTTCATTACGCATAATAGGTTTCCTTAACTTCTTTCAGTCCTTTTCCTTGTGAAATATTCCCATTTTGCTGTGATTAACAAAACATCCTTTGCCCGCGACGACTTGAAGCACCACTTATGACCAGTTGAGGGCGACAAAAGACAAGCTGTCTTCGCTCCACTTCACTGATCTTGCCTTTCGGCTGCACAGAGAGGCTTACATCACTACCTGGCTCTGCATCATCATCAGGAAATGAAAGGAGGATGACTAGACAGAAGCGGAGAGAGGCGACAGCAAAGAAATAAAAGAGTCAGAGTTACGCAGGCGACCGGGCCGACTATTTGGGCCACTGTGCTGAGAACAGAAGGTGCAGCTGGTGCAAGCTGAAATGATGGCAAAGAGACAAAAACCTTTGATGCACACTTCCTTTCTCACAGGTTCCTGCTCCCTCTCTCCTTTGACTCTGCCACCCCTCCCATTGCTTTCTTCGCCCTTTTCTCTTCATCTGCTACCCAATACTCCATCCCTCCTTACTTTCCTCCTTCATCCTCTTCCAACCTTTCCTCCCTCCTTTTTCCCTCCTCTAGTTCCCACGGAGCACATGGGGCCAGGCAGGCTGCTATTGTCCAGGATATCCCCTCCTTGTTAATGGTTTCCTGTGCACACACAGAGGACTGCTGAGAGAAACAAGCAGCCTCATCTGATACCAGGCGTCGCCATGTACTGCACACACACACACAAACAACTGGAGGCATCAACAAGCAAACACACGTACCATACCACACCAAAGCACATTCACACCGCAATGAATAAAATCCCAGCACACTTGAACAAATACGCAGGTGATTTATCAGAACTCTTTTTTTATTGCAAGGAACTTGTCGTTACCACCAGCAAGACCTTTGAAAAGCAGGCAAATCTGATTTGTCAGCGCTTGCTTGTGTTTTGTACAACCATGAAATGCACACAGTCACAGTGAGGTTTGCTAGGAGACACCAAAACATCACCTGGAAATAAAGCAATTGCATTTAGAAATCTGTCTACAGGCTTTGGAAATGTAATGATGTTATTTACTTTTTATTTACTACAACTGTTCTTACAGACGGAGATGAGCTTCCTGTTGGTAACTTCTGACTCTAAACGCTGATGCAAAAAAACTTTTGAGACTAGGTGATAAGAAGAAAAAAAACAGCCTAACATCTTTTACATTAGGAAGAAGCAGGAACTTTGCTATAGCTGTTAAAAAGCTGTTAATCAGTTGATTGTTAAGGACAGGATTTACTGTAGAGAGGAAGTTTAAGTTGAGGGAAGCGAGTTTAAATAACAACGCTTTACATGAACACTGGAGGCTGTGGGTAAATCACATTTAGCTTTGTTTTAACCAAGCTGGTAGCTGACATCTGCTCCCACTATCAGTCAGACGAGCACCTGGTTTTGGTTATTCCACCCCATAAAATGTTGTAAATAGGGGGTGACTCTCAATCCCCTGTAACTGTGGTACCAACACCCGAGTTCCAGGGTGAAAGTGTCCCCCCCCCCTTTCACCCAGGAACTCGACAGGCTGCTTGACCATCTGGAAAAGCCATTCCTGATAGACTGACTACAGTGGGTGAAACTTCTAAAAGGGGTGGGCAGGAACAGAGATCAATCAACATAGTAAATCACACTTGTTGCTTTTTAGTCACGGTCTCCCTCGTCACTGATTTTTTCTTCTCTTCTATACAAAGAACAACAACAACAAAAAAAAACCCATTACAGATGATTAAAAAAAACAAACAACTATAACTAGGTATATCCTCTGTGGGATGTCATCATCATCATCATCACCATCATAGAAAAAAATAGCACTTTCTTAGCAGGAAAATAAAGAATTTGAGTCCTTGAGTCCAGCTCAGCTGGGAAGTGAGTCGAGTCTGTACGCAGATTGAGTTTTCATTTTAGTCAGAAAGCTCCTATCTCCATACCCCAGGGTCTGTAGGGTTTGGCCACGCCGGAGTTCTGGGTCGGGGGGCTGATGGCAGTAGTGGGTGAGATGAGGGGGAAGGTGCTGAAGGTGAAGGGGAACGCCGAGAGAGAGGAGAGGAGTGGAGGGGAGAGCTTGGAGGCCGACGAGGGGACCAGAGCAGGATGCAGGACGGTGGTGGGAGCGGCAGTGGTGGAGGGAATCCTGATCGGACCTTGATCGGAGTGTGGGGTGACGCTGCCGCTGCGCCTGCCCGGGATGTGAGTCTCTGCAACCAGCGCGGAGGATGACGGCGAGGAGGAGGACGGCGATGAATTGGAGGTGGATGACAGAGGAGTTTGTGGGCTGCTGGTGGTGCTGCGGGGTAGAGGCGCCAGCGGTGCACCCTGTTGGTGCTGGAGGAGGAGGGGGTGTGTGAGGTGGGCAGCGGGGGATCCGAAAGCAGAACCCCACGCCAGGTGACTCAGGCCGGAGTGAGCCTCACGCTGACTGGCGTAGTTGTTGAGGTGAGAGACTAGACGGATCCGCAGAGGGTCTGCGCTGTCCAAGCCTTCGATTATGCTCAGATAACGAGCCGTCTCAGCCAGGCACTCCCTGAAACCCAAACCACGGTAGTCCATCGCGAGGGCGTGGGCGTCAAAGTAACCTGAAGAAGACAGTAAATTAGATTCTATAACCGCCAACTCCTCTGAACTTTAAAAAAGAAACCGTTATGAACCATTGAGCCTTTGCTTTTGGGATAACGACATATCAATCAACACAAAAAGAGACTACTTCCACTGCTGATCTGGTCAGACCAGCTATGTGTGTCTCATTTAAACATATTTAAAATTAATAAGTGTACCTTTGCCTCCAGCAGCATGAAGCATCTTCAGATGATCAACAGTCATCTGCAAAATCTCTGCTTTCTCCAGCTTGGCTGAACCCTTCAGGGAGGAAAGAAAATAGAAAAGATAAGATTTTAACAATCCAACAGATTTTAGGTAAACAGTGAGCTTTCCTGACTGTTAACTGCTCATTAGGCTGGGAGACTTCGCGTACTTGTTTCTCGTAGGCGCTGGGAACCAGCCTGCGGAGCTCGCTGAGGCTGTTATTGATTCTGTCACGGCGTCGCTTCTCAATAATCTGAGAAAAGATCATTAAAGATTAGAGATGAGACCTGCTAAATGTGACATTTGGTGACAAACAAGGTCAAGAAAGATAAATTCACTTACTCCTCGACGCCTTTTCCTCGCCTGCACCTGGGTGGATGTTGAGGGAGACATGGAGCCGAGAGGGGAGCTCATATTCCTGAAAGAAGGTGGAACGGGGAGGTTTGGTCAATATCCGCACAGTAAAGTTTTACAGAGATATTCACAAACTTGAACCACTTCAGAGGAAGGAAACACTTCAGGGCCAAATGACTTACCCATTCTCATCTGCGCTCTCCTTCTCCACTTCAATAGTTTCATCCAGCTCGCTGTCCGAGGAGCTAAAATCGTGATTCCTCTTCATTTTGATTCGTGCGCAGTAGTTCCTTCAGTGCGTCAGCTTTGTGAGCCAAACTCGCTTCTGCCCAGGTTTGCCCGGAGCGCCTCTGTTTGAAGCGCTCAGCTTTCCCACGGTGTCATTTCAACGGTGCTGTCGGGCAACGGGGGCGGTGACCCGCGCCAAATCAGCCAATCACAAAGCTGTCTCGGGTTTGAGAGACAGCAGTTAGCCCAAGCACGTCTTCGTGCGCTTTGAGGGCTGGGGGAGAGTTAAGATCTCCCACTCTGAGGCTGTTTCGATGCCCTGAAAAACCTTCAATACTTTTCACCTGTAACGGAAGCTTATGTAAAAAAGAGCGGTGGGTCATGACTTATGAGCGTTTGCAAATTATGAGTACATTTCAATGACCATGACTGCGACTTTTACTTTTCACAATAAACAAAACTTTAAACCTTTTATGTATTTTAAAAATTTTATTTATTTAATTAATTTTTGAAGTTTAGTGATGTAAATGTGCCTGTGAACGTCTGTTGTTTAAGTGTGCTATATAGGCTATAAATTAAACAGACGTGACTGACAACATAAAAAGGTTCAGATATTTTTCATAGTGCATGTTTGGGATATATTTTATATCGCAGAACAGTTCAGTCTGCTAAATATTGAAGATTTGGGCCGACCTGCCCCGGGACCACAGATGGAAATCAGCAATTTAGTTATAATCTTTACATTTAATATGTTTGTTACACTGATGTCCATTAACACACGTTGTTCCTGTTGAATCGATTTAATAATATTTTTCTTTAAGACCACAGACAGCCTTTGTTACCACTTTATGTTCCCCTTCTTAAATACTTTCATGCTTTTTTCTTTTCATTCGGCGTCTTTTTTCTGAAATCACAGCTGGGTTTTTAAAGAAAAACAGGTTTCACGGCGTGATTTGGGATTTTGTTTTTTCCCCTCAATTTCAGAGTGACTGATCTTCCCAAACACGGAGGATCTTTGGAGAAACTTTGACATCGGTCCAATGGACTTTCGGTCCATGACTGTCCACCCCCGCCCCCAACCACCCTGCTCCCGCGAGTCCGCCCCCTCCTCCCCCGTGTGTGTCCCCGGTGGTGATGAGGAGTGGCTGGCCGGCTGTCAGCACGCGCTGGCCGTGGGAAAGTTCCCTAACCGGCGCTGATAACCAATCAGAGGCCGACGGCCGGCTCCAGCGCTGGAATGAATGGAGCAATTGGTCGGGGCGACGGGCGGTCTGCGAGCGAGCGTGTGAACCTGTAATCCAATACTAACTCAGCCCGGGAGGAGAGACAGGGAGCGCTGCCGCAACCAGAGGAAGCCACCAAGTCTAATCTTACCCCACAGAGAGACCTCATGCACGGTAAAGACTCCGTGGGCACTTCAAGGGCTTGTGAGAGCAGTCAGCGAGAGGCCCGTAATGCAATCAAAGCGGTTTGTCCGCTCTCCCAGGAGTTTCCATATCATCACCAGCGCACGACTGATGGCTCCTATAATGGTCACACTCCCCAAATAATTTGACAAGAGCTGCTGCTGTGTGTTTGTATATGCGTGCAGCACTCATGTAATGCATATGGAGCTGGAGCCCCTCAGGCGACGGTCTCCTGCAGGGACCGGTCTGCGGCATATTTAAACAACAGTGCGGTGTTTTAAAGAATAGTGCACAGTGATAGACATGAAAAACGCCTGAATCATTAACAGTATATAAGTAATCATCTCTGTCATAGGCTGCAGTGGCTTTTCACTTCTATTTCATTTCATTTGAGGAACATATTAAAGCCAAATTTTACTCCACGGTTTTATTGTTGTTCACATTTAACACCTCTTTCTAATAGTCTGTAAAGGGCATTAATAAAATGACACCACCTCAGTTTACATTAGGTCTAACCTGCCTGGTATAGTGTTAAACTCCTCAGCTATTAATGTTTCTGAGGCCTGATAATGATCCAGTAATATAATGGTTATCAAAGATGGGGCTCAATTTATTTAATGAGTATTTTTTCTCAGTATTTTACAAAATGAGTCTGCTGTGACATCGAAGTCTGGTGACATAAGAGTTACAGCAGAGAAACAGAAAAGAACTAAGTTTATTTTGCATTCAGCAAAAAACTTAAAATAAATCTGTCGACCAAAACAGGCGAATCACAAAAGAGCTATTTGTTTAAAAAAAAAAGTTGCAGTGCCTTTGATCATTTCTGAGTAAGCCGTATTACATTTAATAAAAGCTCACCTATAATTAACAGAGTAAACAAAGAACAACCTGATGTAAAATTAAATAATAAAGAATAAAAGAATAAAAATACTAAATTATGAAAAAGCACACTCCCACTGCCCAGTTTGCTCACTTTAAACACGATGATGTAATGTTTATGTTTCACTGCATTTATAAGATAATCCTCAAAGACTCCTGTGTGTGATGTCACCGCAGAGGTACAGCTGGAATTATGGGAACAAACTGGTGGCAAACTGACATTTTTATCCCGGCTCGCGTTAAAAAAAAGAGAAGCCAAAATTGTCACTGAAGGCAGTTTCATTTAATGCATCCTGCAAAATATCTGCACCAGGCAGCAACAATGAAGGGCTATGAATAAAGCGAGGAAATGTGCTCTGTGAGGATGTAATGAGGAAACATAAAACCTCAATTCATCAGACTTTTTAAACATTTATTGTGATATATAAGATCGTAGTGCACCTCCACTCATTCTCCGAGGGGCTGTGGGATTGTCGTTTTAATCTTACGCTAATAAAGAGCAACAGAAAAATCAGTCATTAGGAGCATGCCTGCACAGACACACACACACGCACAGACACACACACACGCACTCAGGGTAATATGGAGATCCTTATCAGTGGGAGCCGAAGGCAACCCGAGGCGTAATAGTCATCTCAGAGAGAAGGCCTGCCTTGTTTGGTTTATATGAATGAGAGGAAGCACTTAGGGCTGTTTTCATCTTATTGTTGTTGTACAAGGCTACGCTTATATCAGCACACACACACACACACAAGGTACAACCTTTTGCTGAGCTGATCAGCGGTGAGCTGGTGCCTGTGTGAGTGTGTGTGTTGGGAGTGGGCGAGCGAGTTGCGTTCACACACGTTCCGAGTGCATGCAACCTGAAGCTTTTGTCACAATAAACACAGGTGTGCGTCCACATTAGTTTCTGACTTTGTGTGTGTGTGTTTGTGTATTGAGCGTGGAGGGAGGAGGAGGTGGAGGCGGGGGGTGTGAGCCCTCTTGTTGTATTTCAAGTTCACCCAGAGTTCCCACGCTGTTATTTTCTGCCCGGCTGTCTTTGTTCTACCGGTCTCATCACATGTTGTGATTAGTAGGGCCTTTCAGAGGCCGCCCTTTGAAGGTGAGGGCCCGTAACACCACATCATCAAATCCACCCCTCCTCCCCCCCTTCCCCACAGCCGCCCTCCTCTTCTCCCGCCGCGGATCAGGCCACCAAATCGAATGATACTCAGGCCCAGGACTCGGTGACGGCTCACCTCCGATGCCCTTTCTGTCTCGTATTCGCTTCTTTTCTCATTTCATGTCTAATTTCCTGTTTTCACATATTTTCCTCCTTTTCTCCAATGATAGCCCCGCTTTGCATGTCCTCTCCCTCAGACAGTCATTTGGTCTCTGCAAATGCTGCAGAGCTGCCAAATCCTCTCAAACGGCGAATATTGATGCACGTGGTGTGAGCTCAGTTCAAAATGTGAAACGTTAAAGCACTGATTTAGAAATTAACTTCTTGATTCCACGTCCTCTGCTGTCTTCTACTGTACAATCATAAAGGGTTTTGAATTCCAGTTTATTAGTAAGCCACAAGGGTTTTTTTCCCTCTTTTTTTGGGCTGCAATTACATATAATCAGTGCAGACATAAATTGAGTCTAGACTGTCTTACCAGAAGGAAATGTTTGAAGTATTTGTGCACATTCGGGCTTTGAAGTTGTTTTAAAGGGAGATTTCACCAACAAATTCAGCTCGGTGCTGCATGCCGCCTGTATTTTCTGCATTACGCTACTTTGGCTGTAGATATTTATACAATGGTCCACATGTCATCGGGTTTTTAGTTGTATTGGTTTATTTAGATGTGACTTCCTGAACAGAGCTTATGTGGCTGGGAGCGTAAATCAAGCAGGACTGCAGCGCTGACAGACTGACTTTGATGAACGATGCTGAACTCGCATTCAGGAACTCTCGGTTACTCCTTAACAAAACAAAGTCACGAAAAACTGTTAATGTGCTAAAGTCTTCCCGATGTTCTGCTCGAACTTTGCCAGCAGATGCAACGGTGAAGGTGAGGTCTGTTTCCCACTAATTATATTAATGCGCACAAAAGTCATAAACACAATTAATTAACAAGGTTGAGTATGAAACAGTCGTGCTATTCGAAAAGGGACAAACTGAGATTACAAAGAAATCTCACGAGGGTTTGAGGAATTTACGAAAATATAAAATAAGAATCTCCTTTAAATCATAAAGCCGCAACAAATCATCACTTCTTAATTTAATTTCAAGCTGCTCATCATCTTCTCCTTTTGGGAAAAAGAATAAAAATAAAATCCTGACTCACTCAGCTGGTGGCTAATAATTTAATCTTTACGTCTTCTCTATCTCATCCCATCCCTGCGTTTATAAAGCCCTAAAATAAGCTTCATGAGTGGGAAGGTCCTGAGAAGAAACAGAGGAGCGATTGTTCTCGCAGGATTACTGGTTGTCTTGACTTGATTCACTGGAAGTGCTGAAAACATATTTAAAGCCTTAAAATGAAATAAATAAAAATGTTAAAAGATACACATACAATGTAACTTTACTGAGAGGAAGCAATCCCTCAACTAAGGCTGCGTCCTTGGAGTCAGCTCGAGTCATCAGAATGAATTTCTGTATAAAACTGTTGCTACCTAATGAACTTCACTGTTTATTTTTTAAACGTGCTCCTCCTAGAGACCTCCTGCCATTACCCAACCAAGTTATGGACGGGAACTGGCTGTGGCTCAGTGAAATTAGTCACACAGAAGGTGCGTCACCAAAAACCTCTCAGTGATTGCTTTGGTTGCTATCAGATTGCTCCAGCAACCTGCTAGCAACTAAATCAATCTCAAAGCTTTAGGTGTGGCA